TTCACCTCTGATTAATATAAGCCTTTAGTATTTGTTATGGCTTTTTAACCGTCCCCAAAAATGCCTTTTAAATACCTGTAGGTACATTTACTTGTAAGGATACAATTCATTGAAAGAACAGTTAAGTATATACCGTTAATCTAGCTTAATTCCTGGACGCAATGTTATTTGTGAAAGAGATACTGGAAGTCAATTCCAGATGGAACTTAATAATAATATTATAAATTATGCTCGAGTCATATCAGACTGAATTAAAAGTCTTTTTTTTTATTAACATTCACTTCGACATAGGGACGAGCCGTTTTAAATATATCATAAACTGAATAAATGACAACATCTCGGCGTCGGAGTTATCCAAGTTCAAAAGTGCAAAACAACAAGATGAAATGGTCCTTATCAGACACCATAAAGATGGGTGTATATACTATATACATGATTAAAATGCTTCTATTATATTAATAAATTATAATTTGTCATGGTTTCCCTTTACTTTTATATTTCTTACTATAAATAAACATGATGCACTCATTTTAAAATTTCGAGTGGTGATCGTCACTACATCAGCACATGAGAGTGAGTAATATTTAATATATAACTTACATGTCATAAGGTTTTTTTTTTGTTTTTTGTTTTTTTGGTAAAGATAGATACTTCCTCCTTAAGTAATACAACATTCAAAAGACCAATTTGATGATGTGGCAGCTTTGATAAAGTAACTATATACGACATGTTAATTGATCGTGTCGATTTGTTTTTCATTATGATGGTCAATATTAACAATACTTTTTACAATAAATTTGGTTCCCTACATGTGAACCCGAAGCAAAATAAATAAATAAATAAATAAATTTCTAAATAAATAAATAAATAAATAGATAAATTTCTAAATAAATAAATTAATAAATAAATAAATAGATAAATAGATAAATTTCTAAATAAATAAATAAATAAATAAATAAATTAATTAATCAATTAAGTTTTCGTCATGACATGTCTCACGGTAATGGCGTATGATTTACAACTTTACACGAGGTTTTTATTCAAAACTTAATCTCTGTGTCTCTCAGGGAATACTAGTACTCATTTCTTGGAAAGACCGATGGTAGCATTTCAACTTTTTGAATTATCGGGTTCATCTTCACGAATTTACAATTTCAATTTCATGATTTCACCCATCAACATACAAAATTTACTATTTCAGCTTCACTCGTCAAGAACCAGAAATCTTTGTGATAATACGGTGTTTAAAGGTACTTTATGTAATTGTTTCTTTCTTTCTGTCGAAATGGCAAAAAAAAAAATGAGTTTTATAATGTTTATATACTAGTTTAAGAGCATGATAAATGCTTATCAGTTAAGAAATTCGCACTGAATATATAATTATTTGTCATAAAAGTAGCAAAATGTAAACAAAGTAGTATTTTGACTTTCCTTACAAAATACAAAATCACTATATTTGTACTAATTGCCAAAAAAAAAGCAACAGAAGCAGTAGGTAGTTAAGGTCATTAGCTAATGAATACCCTTTTAGAAACTATAATACGAGACAAAATATGCAGAGCTTTAGGTAAATAAAAAGTGCATTTCTATGTCTGAAATGACCTATCACGTACATATTTATGTAACCTAGTCATATACTTAATATTGTTATTTACAGTACTGTGATAATAATGGCGAATTACATACGTTGTCATTTTTATAATGAGATACTGATTACTTATATAAATACAATATACCTGTGTCGATACACAGCAGCGCAAGAGAAAATTAGTGCATTTGCACTCGATACATTCTCTATCATGTGAATTATGCGGAAGCACAAAACATTTCTGTCCTACTATCATTATCGCAATAACTTCATGAATTGTGGAAAAGCCAAAGTGGTATAAGCATGATGTTAAGACACAGTTATAATATTTATTATTTTAATAGTGGTAATGTTAAGATGATGGCGGTGAAGATGACGATGATGGTGGTGGTTGTGTGTGGTGATGATAATGAAGATAAGTTTAGATGATATTGGTGGTGGTGGTGGTGGTGCTGATGAAGATGATGGTGTTCGCGATGATGATCATGAAGCTGGTGGTGGTAATGATGATGATAAAGCTGGTAGTGGTGGTGCTGGTGATGATGATGATGATGGTGGTTATAATGATGATGGTCGTGGAAGGGTTGGTAATGATGATGATGGTGGTTATGATGATGGTGGTTATGATGATGATTGTGTTGGTGGTGGTGATAGTGGTGATGATGGTGGTGGTGGTGATGATGATGATGATGATGGTGGTGGTGCTGCTGCTGCTAATGATGATGATGGTGGTGGTGGTGATGATTGTGATGATACTGATGATGCTGCTGCTGGTGATGATGATGATGAACCTGCTGGTGATGATGATGATGAAGCTGCTGGTAGTAATGATGATGATGAAGCTGGTAGTGGTGGTGGTGATGATGATGATAATGGTGGTGGTGATGATAATGGTGGTTATAATGATGATGAAGCTGCTGGTGATGATGATGATGAAGCTCGTGTTGGTAATGATGATGATGAAGCTGGTAGTGGTGGTGGTGATGATGATGATGGTGGTGATGATAATGGTGTTTATAATGATGATGATGATGGTGGTGATGATGATGATGTTGGTGATGATGATAATGATGATGTTGGTGAAGGTTATGATGATGATGGTTATGATGATGATGATGATGACGGTGATGATGATGGTGGTCGTGGTGATAATGGTGAGGATGATGATGATTTTGATCACGGCGACAAAAGGATGTTCATTTTAGATTTAAAGAAGAAATCCATTAATAAGAATCCAAACCTATAAAAATAGACTTAAAGCCATATGTTTTAAGTATGTTTCATTCGTGAGTTTCATATAGAGTGAAATAAAATTTATTTTCCAAACTTTCACATAGAAACTAAAAGATATTTGACGAAACTATAAGATATTTGCATCTTAGCACTGACCTAAAATGATTGAAAATAACCGAAAATGGTTTCCAGTAGAAGGTAAGGACATTGTCTTTCTACCGTGCAAGGAGCCTACTGTGCAGTGCAAGTAGCGTTATGAATTTATTTATTTGAGACCAGCAAAAATGCATGGAAAATGTAATTTGAGTTCATAGTTTCTCATCGAAAAAATATGTATTCACGCCTAATTATAGATAGAGCTTAATAAAGACTTGGGTTTTTGGAAAACCGATGTGGAACCGTCTTTTAAAAAAATGCACAAATCGCTGTTTTTGTAACCAATGATTTTAACTTTGACGTACTTGGATATACGGCAGTCATTGTTCAAATATATTTTTTTCAAGTGTCACTAAGTGTCAACACTTAAGATATAATAATTAAGTACGTCATTGCGTGTTTGTTGCGTATATTCCTATAAATAGGATGACAAAGTTAGTGTTACCAAGCCTAATAGACACCACAGAAATATCATTAAATAAGGAGGTCAAAGGATGAGGGAAAAAGCAAAAAAAAAATAAACATACTCAGTACAGTTACTTTTTTTATAAATATAAATCTTTTTAGACTTTAATTCAAATCGAAACAGCTGAGATTATTCACTCGAATATATAATACAATTTTTACTGTTTATTTAAATTTAGTTCATCCAATAGTTTGTTGACTTGAAGAGGGCAACAACTTCTCAAAGATTCTCGTATATGCTGGCAAGAGTAGTCACGCTTATAAAAGAATAGTTGGTAGTTATCATATATCAATCAAGTTACAATGTATTGGATAAGTAGTAACTTCATATAGTAAATTTTATTTGGCCTTACAATATTCAGTTTGACCCAAAATAAAATTGTTATTTAATCCGCTAAGAATACTGTACATACAGAATATAATTGAGCCGCGCCACGACAAAACCAACACAGTGCGTATGCGACCAGCACGGATCCAGACCAGCCTGCGCAGTCTGATCAGGATCCATGCTGGTCGCAAACGCATAATGTTGGTTTTGTCGCGACACGGCTCAAATATTGATAAAAATCAAATCGTTATCAATTTGTAATTTATGTAACTCGTAGAAGAAAAAACACCATGCACTTTCAGCTCGCAAAACCTAAAAAAAAAAAAAAAAAAAAAAAAAAAAAAAAAAAAATAAGGAATATGATAATAAAACACTAAGACGCCGGAAATAAATGACTAAAATTATCTTTCCTGCAAATCGCATTCTTTTTAAACATGAACATGACTAAGACTGGTAAGGCGTATAAAACCGCAAATAGTAGTAGTAATAATAATATTAATTGTTATCATTATTATTTAAAAATGTTAAAATTAATTTTTCGAAAAGATACATATTAGTTTGATGAAGAATAGACAGGGATGCGGTGTAGATGTTACTTCACTAGAACAGTATAGTCTATATAATTTAACCTCTACGGAATTTCTGCAACTACATAGTTTGGAAGATTCCTGTCGTTTGGAATATTCCTACAACCACATGGTTTCGAAAATTTCTGCAAACACATGGCTTTTAATGATTCCTGCAAAACATTGCCTGTAATCACATTTTATGGAAGAGTCCAAAATATACATATTCCTATAGCCACATGGTATTGACAATTGTTACATATGGCATTGAATATTCATATAGCCACATGGTATGGAGGATTCTTATAATATGGACCACACGGTATAGTTTACATGGTATGGAAGTGCATCGGTGACACAATTATCAAAAACGTCCTTTGTAAAGTTCAGATTTTAACAACAGGATTAAAACCATAAGGGCATTACATCCTTATTCAAAGTTAGTTAGGTTTTCTCTTTATGAATAGATACAAAAAAGTATATATGTAATGGATGGACAGTCTTAATAATATGTCTTAAATTTGAATTTTATGTATAAAGTGAATAACATGAGTCGATAATAAAACCGCATCTTTTGATACTCTTTTAGCATCATTAGACATAGTGAATACAATTTCCAATTTTGTTAAGGTTACTATCGATCGATTTTATGTAAATTGCGTCTGAATGTATTTTATTTACATGCTTTTTACTTCTTTTGTATAGCATATCTTCTTAAAACGTTGTTTACACGTTGGTATGTTATACAGAAAAGCAGAATGAAAACTGTACTCCTTTTTGGATTTATTATTTTTAATGGAGTTTTATTTATACCAGGTATGGATTTTAAAATGAATATACTTTTCTATTCTTGAGATGATTCAAACATGTGTTTTATAATGTTTTAATGATAGATTTAAAACATATTAGAGGATTATCACCATAGTAAAATAGTACTGAATTTTAAGTAAATTGTCATAAAGGTAACAAAATGTGAACAAATTCCATACAAAAAACTAACTGTGACAGGGCCAATTTCAATAAAGCAAACGAAGCAATTGATGATTCAGGTCCAATGAGTACTTTTTCGGATATTGTAGATAAATGAAAACAATAGCATTGTGGGGCATAATGGGCCTTTAAGTAAAAGTTAATATGAGGGAAATAACTACAAAATATTTTTATGGAAGAAAACTTGTACAGCAAAACTATTCATATGACATTCTTGTAGTCATTTATAACCGGAGTTTATTTTTAAAAAATTATAATACATAGACTACTTATATGTACTGAGTCTAAATATATTATCATAATTTCATAATGAAGGATTTGTTTCATAAACCGTATATTTTTTTTTAACTTGTGGCGTGTATTTTGTATTCCATTCAAAGCAAAAACACGACAACGTCTTGCCTGCCTTTACGACAAATCTAGCTCGATTCATTTTGCGTGAGCTTGTATTTCTGACACGTTGCATTTTCCGCCCTAATAAACGCTGTTCTTGTCTAAGTTCAGCAAATAGTTCTCCAGCGCAAACATTTGACAGTGCGTCGAATTATCACCACAACTGAAACATTTAAACATGAATGATGACCACGTGGCTTCCAACCCCATCAGAGGCAAGTCGTTGCTTCCTTGAGCAAGAAACTTTATATTCATTGCTTTTTACTGGTTGGTTGCTTTTTACTGAATGGATTCGAGATTGTTTCAAGAAGCTAATAGCTTCTAACGCAATCAAACTAAAATCATTTTTTTTTTTGGTATAAACTAAAAATTTAACATATTCTCTTTGAACATGTGCATCTTAATATTTTAATTTGTACATTTATAAAAAATGTTCGTTTATTCACATTAATATCTTACGATGATTTTTTTTCATTTCTTTACAATAACCTTCCATGTCTTTTTATTAGTGCAATACCAGTTTGAAATAGGACTTAATTTCTAAACACGCAAAAATCAGTATGTTAACTTCTCGCTGTAGTATAAAGATAAGCAAAGTTAATGAAGCAGAAAATATTTCACATTTGTTTGCGTTTTTTTTTACTAAATTGCAAAATAAAAACAAAATACACGTAGCTATCGAATATAAGATTGAATAAACACATGTAAATTATTTTGCTATTTTTATTTGCTTTGCCTAATTAAGGTTGTTTTTACATTTTAAGTTTTTAAAATCATGTTTCTTAAACTACTCTAAATTCGTGATATTTTATGTATAAGAGTTCATTTTGTAAAAAATCTATATTGTTTTGTCATCTTTTTTGAAAATATACTTCTGTTTTATACAGTAATTACGTCGCAATTTTGTATTTCTCAGACATCGACAGAAACTTGAACGATATTGCTACTTTAAAACTCTTAAGTTAAATGGTTTGAAAATATTATTATATAAATAAAATTTATTTGCCGATGTGTGTTTTTTTTCCTTCAAACAGAGAAACAATTTTGAATAGCTACGTCTATAACCGTAGGAATTGTCAAATGCTCGGGAGAGAAACCAGTGTTGACATATTCTATTCATTATGTTTCCGTTATATTTCAGTAACCAGTTGCCCTTCTGGAAAATTTGGAAGAGAATGCATGTTTACATGTCACTGCAAGGATGGCGCTGATTGTGACGACACTTCCGGATTCTGCGTGTCGGGATGCGCAAGCGGTTGGAGCGGAAACTCTTGTCAACAAAGTAAGGCCAATAGAACATGTCAAACATAAATTTAATATCCATATATTCTTGCATCTCAGACAGGATTATCTACCGTTTACATGGGTGCTAGAAAACTCTGTCTTACACCCCCATGTAAGACAAGTCGCGTGCTTTAAATGACGTCATTGACGCGCGCCTTTTATGAATGAATCGCTTTCTTAAGATGACGTCATTTTTCCGTTATGAATAACGATGTATGTTCATACTCTACTATAAGAAAAAAGTGCGTAATGAGAATATCAGTTTTCATAATTTCTGTTCCGAAAATAATTGACATGTAATGGCAGAGCCTCGTTACCGCTGTAAACAGGTACACTCGAGCTAGATATTCCGGTCTGTACCGGCAGCCGGTGTAAGATTCTAATAATCTTGCACATTCTGATAATTCAAGCGTTGGTGTTTTACTTTGGATAGAATAACAATGTATGTACATGTATATGAAAAGAGGCGTAGCACGATACGCACGTGCGTATAAACAATTCAACGAGAAATTCGAATCCGGCTAACAGTGTTTATTTCGCAATTCGAACTTAAAATTTAATGTCGATAAACTTTAATGCACAAACATCTATATAACAATGTGGACATTTTTTAATTTTTGCTGTTGTCATTAATTAGCTTTTATGTAAACCTGATGATGATCTATGTAATATTGTATGCTATGAGTATATTTACAATATTAAAGTATTAAGATACTATGCTTTGTAGAAAACGTGATATTTTAATGTCAGAATATCTATTATCTGCGTTTTCAAACGTTTGATAACCCTTTCTTTGTACAGTAGTTAGATAATGATACTGTACTGTATGTGATTTTTCGACTGCTCGTATTTCTTATTTTGCTATATAATCATGCACTTTAAACTTAAACATAAGGTACACGAGCGAGTACATGTTGCATTTCCCACATGATCATTAAAATACAATTTATCATATCAGGAAACGCCGCCTACGGACGCTTAACAAGCCAAAAAGATGGTTCATTATCCCAGAATTCATCATTTGCTGTAGATGACGTCATAAGCACGTGTTCGTCCACGCAAGCAGCAGTTCCGGGATGGTGGCTGGTTACTCTCAAAGATGTGACAAATATACGAACAATTGTAATCAAGGGTTGTAAGTGAATGATTTCAGATTTGCTTGAAAAAAAGAAGAAAACAAACAAAATACAAAAAACAAAAATCCCACACAAACAAACAAATAAGCCCAACAGCACCTGGCATAAGTATTTTGGTATACATTCAATGTGGCTTACATATATAAAATAAAGATACTTTTTTCTTTTAGTTATATCCTCTTATGTTATCTTTTATTATTGATTAAAACATTATGCAAAGTTGGTTTGTATCATGTTGTTGACAATAATAGTTCTCTCATGATAGAAGTGCCTGTTATAAAGGTTGGCGAACCCACATTACAATTGGACGGACAAAGAATACGGTGGCAAGACGGCAAGTAATCATTATTCCAAAAGTTATTTCGTCAGTATTACTTTTCATACGGTATATGTTTTTAGAGATAAAATGCACAAAACCCTACGCAGAAAGCACTTTTCCCGGTTTTTACCGACTTTGTCTGATATCTCTCGAAATTCCAATCGATAAAGGGAAATAAGCTTTGCACTTTATTCAAAAAAATTATCAACTGGGAAGAGATTTGAGAAAATGAGAAAAACTTCAACCAAGTAGACAACAGCTGTTAAAATGCTGCCCATGTAGGGGCTTATGCACTCTCTTTGAAGACAACCCATTCAATGTTATGAACGATATTTTCGGGGGAAATCTGTATTATTTTTAGTATTTTCCCGCCTTGCACTTTTGTCAAAAAATCACGTGGGTTCTCCACCCTGTTATTGGCCCGTCTTATGTTACCGGATATAAAGAAGGTAGTAACTTATACATGTACTTAATTTGCAAATGCAACTACAAATTCTCGTTGATCCTCGCATTATAGTTTTCAAGAACATTAGTCATTTGATAATATAACAACGTTTTTGCAACGGCTTTTATGTACCAAATTATCCTTTGCAGCAGAAACAACAGACATCAAAGGTTGGAGGGTGTATGCAGGCATGGACGAAAACCGGATGTCAATGTCACTGTGTGCAACAGTTCGTGTGTCAGGTGATGGTGCAACGATAACATGTGACACCGTGATTGTAGGTAAACACGTGATGGTTGTCAACCGAAACGGGCCAGTTGTACTCTGCGACTTCCATGTGAAAGGTACTATTATGAAAAAATATCTATTTTTATAGCCATTAAATTATCCTTGCTTGATGTTTTAAACTTTTGACAAAATGGCTTAGATTTATTTATATATCCAGTAAAAAAACAAAAAAAAACAAAGAAATTACTTAACAAATGATCATACTAAGTATATCTTCAGTTATGCTTAAGCTATGCTGTATACATGTAGAATACAACAGTTCAAAACTTAGTAAATATTTTTATTGAAATGATAATTAGTAAAAACATAAAGTTGAATATTTTGCTACTTGCTAATCTGCTGTCTATAATGATATATTGCAAACTATAAAATCAAAATTATTACATAATTACGCAACTCTGATATAAAATTGGCATTTGTATTTCATCTAATGCATTGCACTGCATTGATACTGGAAAAGTGATATCTTTTAAAAGTTTGTTCGCCACAATGGTTTGGTGTTGGATGTGAACACGTGTGTAACTGTGCTGACCAAGAAGAAGTGTGTGACGTCATTTCCGGTACTTGTAAGACAGGGTGTTCCGATGGCTGGACTCGTGTTGATTGTTTAACGCGTAAGCCTTAATATCTTTTTCAATATCACTTTATGATAATAATATTCAATATGATAAATACTGAACTGACTTTTCAAACCATATATATCGTGAGAAACAACAATTATTAATATAAAGGATTGTTTTGTGGGATATTATGATTATTATCTTCTCTAAACCGCACAAAACGTGCTTCTTTATTTTTCTCAGCTTGCACTGGAAAACGGTACGGCGAGGAATGCAAATACGGATGTGGATTTTGTGCAGACGATAAATCATGTAATCATGTGACTGGTACTTGTCAAAATGGCTGCAAACCAGGATGGACAGGCATGTTTTGCACACAGCGTGAGTAAAAGTATTTACATGGAGATACATTACATGGAGAGGAGGAAAGTGCGTGACTTAAACGGTCAACATAATATTTCCCCGATAATTCACGTTCTTTCGTGAGAATTTCCGAGACTTGTTTACAGTCCATCATCTTGAAAAGAATTTGCGAAGATAATATTAAAACGTGATAACTCGGGAAAGGATTACTGTAATTAACCTTAACAAATTCAGATCATCTTATCATTCTTAGGATCCATCAAATTCTACTTAAAAGACCTTGTCCTGTGTAAAATTAATCTAGACTTTATGTTAGCAATAAAATCGAATGAATAAACTATGTTATAAATATTATTAACAACATATTTCTAAGTGAAACAAAGTACATATTTTCAGAAATAAAGAAAAGATTCATCATTAAAACTGTTCCATATGCCTTTTCATGATGGTTTTCATTTAGAATGCCCAGTTGACACCCATGGTCCAAATTGCAACAGAATGTGTGGTCATTGTTATGGCATTGATGCATGTGACGTCATCAACGGAAGTTGTCTACACGGATGTGAGCGCGGGATACACAGGAAGAATGTGCAACGAAGGTATTCGAACAGTTTTAAGATATAATATTTTTAATACATGGATTAACTTAATAAATATGGAAAAGTAGCAATACTATCGCGTGTGCTTGTGACCGTATACTATCTATCACATACGCCAAAGAACTTTTTTATGCCACCGTATAAATTTGAGTTAAAATGGAAGCGCATACTCAATAAGCTCAGTTTGTTTATATTGATGATGCAAAATTAGTTAGACATTTCCAGCCGGCTGATCATGAAACATTGATTTATAACAGGAAAATGTTTTCTATCTAGTGTATAGAACCGTTTAATTTATATTTCAGAGTGTCCTGTAGGCTGGTATGGTACAAACTGCAGTCAAGAATGTGGACATTGTGCTAACAATTCAAGGTGCGATCCTAAAATTGGAATATGTTCCGACGGTTGCCAGACAGGCTGGGAAGGTGTATTTTGTGCACAAGGTACGAACGATTTTTTTCCTTAAAAAAAAAACAACAACAAACACAATAATATGTTCTATGGCTTTATATTTCATGTTTCCATTCAATGAACTATAAAATATATTTACTATATATTACATTTGTATCATGTTCAATGAATATTTATTATAAATACTACTATGTAAAGATGAAATGAACCGTCTAGGAAATATCGCTTGCATCCTGTCCGAAAGGATTTACTGGATTTAACTCTGCTTGTTCCAGGTTGTCCGAAGGGATTTTACGGAAATAAATGTCTACTTGAATGTACCAATTGTTTTGAGGACGAATGTAACACTGTCACAGGAAAGTGCACACTTGGGTGTACAGCGGGCTTTAGTGGTTATCAATGTGCCCAGGGTATGTAATTATTATCTTTTGCTTATCAAACAAAAAAATCTACTCTCAATTATCCGTATTTAATAGTAATGAAAAGAAAAACTATTCCAAGTAAAGCAATTTGTATATATACATCTGATGTCAGTCTCCACAGTCTATTAACCCAATAACTTATTTAACTTAGTTTGTCCTGATGGTTTATTTGGCATAAACTGTACCGATAAATGCGGCAAATGCAGTAGCGAGGGTCAAGGTCGTGTTTGTGACGCAATATCCGGAAAGTGTAATTTTGGCTGTTTACCAGGATATAAGGAAAATGAATGCAAGGAGTGTGAGTATGACAGTGTTTCTCAAAGTAACATCTCTTTGGGAACAACCCTCATTTGGCTTTAGTAAAAAAATCTAATGATATTTCAATTATTATTTTCTTCTACTCTTTTGCATGCAAATTAATAAGACGCGTTTCTTTAATACCATTGATTTATCTGTGAAAATGACATTACGTGTCTGCCTAACGTTTACCTGTATTAAAAAACTATTCGTAAAAATGAGTCAATCAATTTTTATCAAGAAATCCGTGTTTTCAAAAAGTCATGTGTTCCCTTTTTTCATCCGGTACCAATATATAGCATTTTCTGTCATACCACTCGGACTTGATAGTTATCTTTTTATTTCAACATTTTATTTTGCATCTTAGTATGTGATTACATGTATTACGGAAGCGGATGTAAAAAATGTGGTGTCTGCAAACCAGGAACTACATGTGACACATTCAACGGCTCATGCCCAGAAGGATGTGCAGATGGTTGGTTTGGTGACTATTGCGAACTGAGTAAGTGGTTGCAATATGTCGCACTTACTTATCTTGAGAAACGCTAGAAAATTGTTACATTTATTGACATTACAATAAAAAACATTTTCAGACTTCAGTCAGAGTTCAATGGCGCAATTATGGTGCGTCATATATGTTCAAATGTACGTACATCTGACAAAGACAAACTTTGCGAGAAATGAAACAATGGCGTTTACTTATGAATGCTTTTATTTAAGCCATGGTTTGTGCAATACAGCAAACATTGGCTTAGTAAAATATGACGATGAGCTTATTATGAGGAAAATACATAGTCTGTCTAATGATTATCTGTAAAAGTACAAATATGTATGTTGTATATTTCACTATATTTGATTTACTATATAAGTAAGTATAAAAATAACGTCACTTAGCTCTGTTATATTTCAGGCGAACCATTTAGTGATGAAGATGGTCCTCAACTTGCTTTATTCCTCGGCTTTATGATATCCGTTGTTATAATTATCATGAGTCTTGTAACTATATGTCTTGTGTTGATATGGCGTCGCGAGCACCTGGTGGAAATGGAGAGCGAACTTCCGGTTAAAGAAAAAGAAACACCATTGATCGACAGAAACGGTTATTTGTCCGACGGGGAGGAAACTTTCATCATTTAAACATTTTGCAGTGTCACTCTTTATTTAATAGGTGATCATATAGCACTTCCGGTCTAGTGAGAAAATACACGAAAATAAATAAACTCCAAAACTCCAAGGAAGGCACATTTAAAACACCATTAGATTCTTGGATAACCTATTGTTAATATATGAGAAACTAGTGTACCATTTTGTTACATCTAGATATGATAACCAGCTTAAAATCGTTCATGTTACAATGAAAATTAAACATTTTTAACTACACAATGCATGATAATGGACATATATCGGACAAAAAAGCTTTCTTAGAAATAGTCCTGGTAATAAATATTACTTTGCACTGTATATATTCCATCCTGGAGATATTATCACGACAGAGACTATCATTTAATCACGACAGAGACTATCGATGGGTTACAAGCTCAATGGAGCTGTTTGGATTTTGAAAGTTTCCGAAATTCAGAAATTTGAAACATGAAACATCAGCTGTTTTAGTAAGACATGATTACTAAAATATATATGAAGCTGATCAAATTAACAAATTGATAGAATTTGAGGATCATTAAATTGTTATTAAATTTTATTATCACCAATAGCTAACTTTGCTGATACATGTATAATAGCAGTTAATCATCACAATTTATCCTTAGAAGTTAACATACGTAAATTCTAAGACAGACCTAATATGAATAATAAATCAGGAATCATACAAGGGAAACATAGTCAATTCTGACTTAACAGGGTCTACATCAAAAAGAAGCATTTTGATTAGTTTAGGAGCCATGCCTATATAAAATGTTATTTTTTAAGAATATACGTATGTATCAGGTTTACACCTTTATTGTCTTTGGAAATAATTGCCTCTCTCTCTAATTTTTTCTAATATTATTTTCTAATTTTAAAACTTTCACAAAGCATTTTACAAGAACAAAGAAATTTTACTTCGATCTTAAATTTGAAAAGTTGAGTATAATTTTGATACTTGAATTTAATTATAAAAAATAATAAATACATGTACATTTGTATATACATATTTTCGTTAGTGTCCTGCGGCATTGACATTCATAAACTATATTTGTAGTAAAAAAGCGAGGTTAACCACTCAAGAAATTATGTGTGTGGTTCACAAAACACTATGACTACAAGTGTACTAATATTTTCAGCCCAATTCACTTGATTTTATAGTAAAAAATATAGTATCTTAAAGACATACTGTTTCAGTTATAACGTTTAAATAATGATTTTATGAATGTAAGGCCGATTGTGAAATTAATTGTTATAACAGAAGCAAATTGTTAACAAAGTAATACATTTGTATTTTGACTTCCATACAAAAAAAGCTTATTAGTCCCATACCGATTTATCCGGAGGTGACTTTAGGTTTACCCTCCTTTCGTCCGTCTGTCTATCTGTCTGTCTGTCTGTCCGTCCGTCTGACCGTCCGTCAGTCAATCAACCAGTCAGTCCATCCGTCCACAAACTGTATCCCGAGATAACGCAAAAAGTACTGAAAATATTTCTATGAATCTTGAAATATGCTTAGATGGCAGTCTGGCGATTATGCACAAATTTAAATTTGCAAAATGTATCTGTTTTTTATGAGATAAAGTTAAAATATCATTAAAAGCAATATTTTTCATTTGTAAAATTGCAGTCAGTAAACGATTTCCCATTGTCTTTGTTTGATAATCGCAGTTTCTCTCAGACTACGCATATGAGCTAGTATAAAGATATACGTTTCTTAGATATTTTTTTATACTTTTTCTTTTATTTGGTATAAAGGTACATTTCGTTAAAAAATGTCTAAGTTTGATGAATGAGTACAAAAAACGTTAACTCAGATTTATTAAAAAAAAATTATAGTTTGCCCGCCATATTTGTTAGATAAGAACTGCGACTTTCATTGACTGGCAAGGAACACACCCAAATTCAAGATGGTGTAACCAAGCGAAAATGAAACACTGCTTATGGTCTTTTGATTTAATAGAAATTTGTGGGTTATTCAATAGTAAAAATAATGTAACAGTTACAAAGGACGAAGTAAAGCAGCTTTACAAAGGAGAATATTTATATACATATACATTTGAATACAAAAATCCTACAGTCTCATGTCAATAATTCTGTCCTCGGCCAGATATGAAACCACCAAATTGATAATACAATATCAGCAATAAACTAAGAAACTTTTACGGTGCCTTTCAATTATATTGTTACACCGTTTTTATGCATAAGTGATTTAAATTACATAAAAGTCAGTAAAAGTATATTAGAGTAGCCATTTTATTTCGTATATGTACTCAGCTTTACAAACATTATTTTATGATATACATAAATGATGAAAAAGTAATTGACTCTTATCAAGCTTTATTAAAATCATTGAATATTATTATTCGCAATCTTTAGAATGATCCGCTGCATATTTTCTGTTATGAAGACCATTGCATTTGCTGGCGTCTTCAATACATGTAATCAAATCAAGTGCTGTATTTATACCGGAAGTGTAAGCACTGTGAACATATCCGTGATTTGTTTTATTTAAGTGTTCTCCTGCGTAATATAGATTTCCAGTTTGTAGCATAAGATCGTCCATGTCCTCCAGTGTAAAAGCCGGGGTCCAGTAGCTGAAACTTCCCATTGTAAGTGGATCTGAAAGCCATCGAAAGGTTGTGAAGTTTCTAGGTTCGGGTACTGTCTCGTTCGGATACATGTTACGTAAAACTTTAACTGCTTCAGAAACTAATTCGTCGTCTGACATACGATTTGCAGCTTTTGCTTCTGACCCAACCATTGAGACTTGCAGAATATTGCTGTCAGGAAACAATGTGTTCATATTTAACCAAGCAGTAAAAAACCCTCTCCTATCTTGGACATACAAAATGGCTTGGGTGTCATCCCAGAATGTTGTGCCAAATTCCAAATACAAAATAATATACTGCGCAAACCCAAACTTATGGATTGCATTCGTTTTCCATTTTGGTAATGGAGGATTAAACAGAACTTTTTCTGATTGAAGAACACCAAGACTAAATGTTAAGATGACAAAATCTGCCTCATAGATTGAACCATCTTCCGTATGTACAAGAACTTCCGAATTGTCGCCGTTCCAATTCTCAATTTCTGTCACGATTTTATTCAACATCAAGATGTTGTCACTGTCAGTAATGAAGCTGTCTTTAAGCTTCTCAACTATATATGAGTAGCCCCTTGGGTCGTTCACAAGATGCCACTCATCATTTTGATGCTCACGAAACACTTCAAAAGGATACAAAAATTTTCCAGACACTGCCGCAGATTCTATACCATTTTCAAAATCATTTTCAAAAAACTCAACCGTTTCTGCAATATTATTTATCGCATCCCAACCATAAATTCGTAACCCTGCTTGTGAAGTAAAATCACCGGTATTTTCACATCTTAACCTTCTTGTTGCGTTATCGAGTTTTTCTATTACTTCTTCATATAACTCGTATTCCGCATCACCATCATCTGTAAGATCGTTCCCATTTTTGTCTCGAAATGTCCAAGTGTCTTCTTCCTCAACAAAATCAAGACCATACTCATTGGCTATTGTTACAATGGGGTTGAGTCCCAATCCATAGATCCATTGTGCACCTACTTCCAGCGTATATCCAGATAATTCGAATGCTTTCATCCTACCACCAACTCTATTTGAACCTTCAAGCATTTGAATATTTTTGTATCCATGATCGTACAATGTTTTAGCTGCTGTAATTCCTGATATGCCTGCTCCAAGTACCAGTATCTTTGTATCTATATATATATATTAAAATACAATAACATTCATGTAATGTTGCAACATTATATATCATATTTCAGATATAAATGTAAATACTTATCTAAACACTATAAGGAACATATTTTCCTATGAGCGAATGTTTAAAAAACTTCTATTCAGACTTCCTACCCAATCCGTAAATATCTATTTTATGTGATTTATTTTGTAAATGAAAGAAAAAAAAAAGAAATAAAATGTTGTTAAGTAAATTCCAGTCTGCGCCGATTTTTTTTGTAGCACGCCTGGAAGTGTAAATCGCTCTATTGCTATATCCGAGTTAGTGCATGCCACCGAATGTGTCAACAAAAAATATAGTACTGTCATATTTAATTCTCTTTGTAAGCTCAATATTGAATTTAGATTGTCAAAGATTGCTATACCATCTAGATTCTAAACGTTGAGAAGTTCATGTTTAACTGTTTGTTTTCACTGATTAAAAAACGAATTTAATAGACGTTAGCTCTGTAATATAATTAAATCTATATAAGAATAAAAAAGTAGTTATGAAATATATATAATCTGAGACACCGCTCTGTCAAGTCGTTATATATAACCTTTATTACCTTTCCCTTTGTTAACGGCGATTCCTCTCTGGTTTCTGAAATCATGCCATGGGTTCCATCTTGTTTGTGGTTCATATTTAGATTCTAGAAGGAAGAAAACTACTATAATGTATAACCATTGTCAGAAAATATTTAAAAGTGCATTGACCACCAAGATAAAGTTGCTATCCTTCCTAAAATATGACTTTGATTCACTTTAAGATAATGTTAGAGATATTTAATTTACATTCCTTATCGTTGTAAATAATGTTGTCTTAAAAGTGTATAGTGATATATGAGTCGCGCCATGACAAAACCAACATTGTGCGTTAGCGACCAGCATGGATCCAGACCAGCCTGCACGTGCGCGCAATCTGATCAGGATCCTTGTTGATCGCTATCAGTGTCCCTAGTTGTTATAGGGTTGGTAAGCGAACAGCTGGGATCCTGATCAGACTGCGCGTATACGCAGGCTGGTCTGAATCTATGCTGGTCGCAAACGCATTATGTTGCTTTTGTCGTGACGCAGCTCATATATAAATATATTTAATGCCAGTTATTTAAAAATTTATTATTTGAATTTTGAAACAGAAAAACATCAAAATTGTATAACCGTGATGATTTGTCATATCTTATATGATATTTAAGATTTTTATTTCAGCGGACGAAAACCTTTGCAACCAGAAAACAGATACTATCAATACCATTTTCCAAAAGAATCAATATGCCTGCAAATACATCACACAAAGCAAATCGAGAAATCATATTATTTTATTAGTTCTATACCAATAATAAAGATCGGATCCATCGTCCATTGGTATTACACTTGACTACTAATCCGGGGGCACAGGTTTGGTTCTGTGCTCCATTGTTAACAATATCTTAAAATCCGAGGTCCTTATTAGAGATAATAACATTTATGCCGTATTCATGCACTTCCTCCAAAAACGATTATCCTGATAAAGTGGGCAACCGAAATGTGAAGTAAATAAAACGATTAAAATTAAAGCGCTTACCCTTTGAATGATTAATTCCACAAGTAGAGGCAAATAAGGTGCACAACAAAAGCAATATCTCTTTAAAATGTACCTCCATACTTCATTAACTTTTGTTTCAATAGTGTAAAATTTTAAATGTACTGATGCCTCAAGCCATTTAATATTAAAAACCAATGAAGGTACAGAATCCTGTTTCAACCATCAAATTTTCGACTAAGGACATACGTGGAAGCGAGAAATTTCTTTATTAACTCGTGGCGTAAATGTAACGTGAAAAGTTCTTCCCACGGCAATTATCAGGCTAATTTCGACCCAAAATTTACAACAATAAGTACAATCATGATGAAAACTGCTAGTATCAACTTTTTGTGATATGTGCTATGATATTTTTGCTTTAAATCAACTTTTCCTTTTCTCTTAAATTTTTGGTTGTGAGTCAGGATGTCGACTTTGTGTTACAATCACAGCATGAAAAGTGCTCAATTTCTTGGTTTCGTGTATCGCTTTAGTTGAAAACAAGATTCCGTACTTAATTAAGGAGCTTTCGGTGTCATGCATATATAAATTTATAGCTTCCGCAAGTAACACACATATATTGAAAGTATTTTTTTAAGCATATTTTGCACACCGTATTACCGGCGGCAGTGATGGCAGATCACTGCAGTGATGGCAGATAGCTGAAATTTACCGCTAGGTACAGGTAGGTTATAAATTTGGTTGGTATTATCATATTTCACAAATACGGCCCATCTCATTGCTATGAAACTATTGTCCATTGACTGGAGATACTGTTAAGTAATTTTGGGCTCGTTTTTCCTGTTTTGAGACTATTTTGAGCAGGATAAAAGTGACAGCTTCGGAAAAATCCGTGAAAATGTCTGTTTTTTGTTCAAAATATCTCAAGTTTTAACTAAATGGCAGGATTTCGTGTTATTAATATAGACGTTCATCCATTGGGGTCAAGCAAGCCAAATATCTATCATGTGAGTCTTTTCTTGAAAGTTTTACAGACGTTCAATCTGGTCCGGTTGAAGAAAAATGCTGCCGTTCTAGGCAGATACTTTTTTTAAATGCTGCCGTCGATGACAGAAATACCATGAAAGTGGCTATAACATTCTGACAGAAAACCAAGGTCAATCTGTAATCACTTCCTCTATTCTTTGCGCCCTTTTAGTCGTAATTGAGACGTTAAACTATCATTTCTAATATTATCTCAAGATAGAAAAGTAATTAAAGCGGTATGTGCATCGAAAAAGATTTAATATAATAATACCAACCAAATTTATAACCTACCTGTACCTAGCGGTAAATTTCAGCTATCTGCCATCACTGCAGTGATCTGCCATCATTGCCGCCGGTAATACGGTGTGTTTTGTTAAATTTTAAAATAGCTTTCTGACAAAGAAACAGTAGCATGTTTTCAGATTTAGAGCTTTTTCTTATCACCCGTCATTTAATAAAGCACAGTGTTTTCGTTACATCAGGAAAGCTGACACTATATGTGTGTGCTTTGATGAGAATACTCCGCCGACGTGTGACGGTATATCGGTATATCAATGTGACACCAGTCATGTAACTGAAATTATATAGACACCACCATGCATATCAGTAACGCAGGGATGTAAAAATAACGCTCGAAATGTGCATTAGTAATGCCCAATTGTGCCGAAACAAGCAACACAGTAAATAAATGGACTAATTTCTATTACAGTAAATCCCATTGATAGAAACTAAATACCAAATACGGTTGCTGAGACATTTTTATTATACACGTCATTGAAATGTTTCCATGAAAGTATTTGTTTTTCAAGATCATTCGTGAGTTTGACAACCTGTTTAGCTTAGATATAAGACATACGAACCGTATTCATTATTTTCAACCTGTCTGTAATGTACATATCATAGATACATATAACATCGTAAATCATTAAATCAATTTTCAAAGCATGTAAACTGTTGTAATTCACCACAGTGATTTCCTCTTGCTCTATTATCCTGAGGTACGCCACAACATACATGGTGCACATGTACTTACTAGCCACAACATACATGGTGCGCATGTTCTTACTAGCCACAACATACATGATGCACATGTACTTACTAGCCACAACATACATGATGCACATGTACTTACTAGCCACAATATACATGGTGCACATGTACTTACTAGCCACAATATACATGGTGCACATGTACTTACTAGCCACAACATACATGATGCACATGTTCTTACTAGCCACAATATACATGATGCACATGTACTTACTAGCCACAACATACATGATGCACATGTACTTACTAGCCACAACATACATGGTGCGCATGTTCTTACTAGCCACAATATACATGATGCACATGTTCTTACTAGCCACAACATACATGATGCGCATGTTCTTACTAGCCACAACATACATGGTGCGCATGTTCTTACTAGCCACAACATACATGATGCACATGTTCTTACTAGCCACAATATACATGGTGCGCATGTTCTTACCTGCCACAATATACATGGTGCACATGTACTTACTAGCCACAACATACATGATGCACATGTTCTTACTAGCCACAATATACATGATGCACATGTACTTACTAGCCACAATATACATGGTGTACATGTTCTTACTAGCCACAACATACATGATGCACATGTACTTACTAGCCACAATATACATGATGTACATGTTCTTACTAGCCACAATATACATGATGCACATGTTCTTACTAGCCACAACATACATGATGCACATGTTCTTACTAGCCACAATATACATGATGCACATGTACTTACTAGCCACAACATACATGGTGCGCATGTTCTTACTAGCCACAATATACATGGTGCACATGTTCTTACTAGCCACAATATACATGATGCGCATGTACTTACTAGCCACAACATACATGATGCACATGTTCTTACTAGCCACAACATACATGATGCACATGTTCTTACTAGCCACAATATACATGGTGCACATGTACTTACTAGCCACAACATACATGGTGCGCATGTTCTTACTAGCCACAACATACATGGTGCGCATGTTCTTACTAGCCACAATATACATGGTGCACATGTTCTTACTAGCCACAACATACATGGTGCGCATGTTCTTACTAGCCACAATATACATGATGCACATGTTCTTACTAGCCACAACATACATGATGCACATGTACTTACTAGCCACAACATACATGGTGCGCATGTTCTTACTAGCCACAATATACATGATGCACATGTTCTTACTAGCCACAACATACATGGTGCGCATGTTCTTACTAGCCACAATATACATGGTGCGCATGTTCTTACTAGCCACAATATACATGGTGCGCATGTACTTACTAGCCACAATATACATGATGCGCATGTACTTACTAGCCACAACATATACTGTTTGCTGGTATTCTCGCGTTAAATCTATTCTCGCGTTATTTTTATTTTTCACGAGGTTGAATCACAGCGCCACCTATAGTAAATATTTGTGACCTACTTTTATTCAGCAGTGTTTTGAGTAACATTTTACAGTAATGAACCGACTAAAGGTAAGTAAATCACAAATTTTACCTTGTAAATGCAAAACTTTAACTAAATCATTCACAAAAATATCTATTCTTTGGTAACTTTCCTCCATTTTAAGATTGACATCTTCCGTCTGCTGACAGGACTCCATTTGTTTTGTTGTTGTTGCCTAAAACTTCAAAACCTATACCATACCATAGTTTTTTGTTGTTTTTTTTTTCAGGGGTCCCAAAGCAGGCTTAAGCAGCCATATGACAAGGAAAGCCTTAAGAGAGCCTATGCAGGTTGTGTTTCAAATGGCATGTCTGTTTATCGGGCATCTAGAGTGTACCATGTCCCGGAGTCTACTTTGAGAGACAGGACTAGACACAATGTCACCCTTGAGGCACGTCCTGGACCAGAGACTCTATTGTCTTCTCTTGAGGAGGACAAGTTAGCACAGCATATAAAGTATATGGCCAGTATCGGATATGGCTACACCATGACCAACGTAAGATTTATGGCTGCTGACTATGCCAGGTCAATGGGGAAGAAAGTTGTTGCAAAGGATGGTTTAAGTACTGTGTGGTACTATAGTTTCATGAAAAGAAACCCAGACTTGAAAGCTGTCAAGCCTCAAAAGCTTGATTTGGCCAGAGCTAAAGGTGCCTCTGAAGAAAAAATAAACAACTATTTCAAAAAACTGAAGAATATTCTAGATGACAATGACTTAATCAATTCACCTGAAAGAATCTATAATATAGATGAAACAGGAGTAAGCACCCAGCACTCACCACCTAAAATAGTTTGTGGGAAAAATGATAAACCTCAGGCAATTACCTCACCAAGATCTTCCAATGTAACAATAATAGGAGGAGCAAATGCCCTTGGAAATCATGTGCCTCCTTTTTATATATTCCCTGGGAAAAGGTTTAATTCTCAGTTCATGGAAGGTGCTCAACCTGGTGCAGATGGTACAATGTCGGATAGTGGTTGGGTGAATGGTGAAATTTTTGAAGATTATGTCACGAGACATCTTGCGAAGCACTGCAACCTTGATTCTGTCTCTTCAGATAGACCAGCCACATTGATCCTGTATGATGGGCACAAAAGTCATTTATCGTTGACTTTGAATGAGTGGGCTAGACAGAGGAATGTGGTCCTCTTTGTACTTCCCCCACATACCAGTCATCTCACGCAACCACTGGATGTTGGTGTTTATGGCCCATTCAAAGCCTTCTACTATACTGAGTGTCAACAGTATTTGCAGCATAACCCGGGTGTATACATCACCAAATATGAAATTGCTTCACTAACTTCTAAGCCGTACTTGAAAGCTTTCTCTCCATCAAACATCACATCAGCTTTCAAAAAATCAGGAATATATCCATTTGATGGGTCTCAAATTTCCAAGAGTGACACTGCACCTTCATCAATTTATTCCAGTGAAAATCATGATCAGTGCCAGGGACTGGATACACAAGTTGAATCAACCGAAAAGGCACCACAGCAACCAGAAGAGCCCTCTGACTCGCAAGAAACCATTTTGTATGATGAATCTGTCACTTTCTTTGCAAAGAGACAAATTAACACTGTCAAACAAAGACCTAAGAAAAAATTCATTCCACCATACATAATGGGAAATCTGTTATAAATGAAAGAAATACACATGTTCTGCAAAATCAAAGGAAGTCTAAGGGTGCCAAATCTGAGAAAACTGTTCAAAATAGACAAAAAAATCCCATACAAACACCGTCTAAGAAGCAGAGGAAGAGTAAGGAGCATGAAGAACCAGTTCCTAGCACATCTGGAACATCTAAGACAGGGTACCTATATCTTTGGACTCTCCATCACATATGTCAGACAGTGATACTGATATTGAGATAGAGGAGAGAGACAAATGTTGTGTCTGCAAGCTCTACACACCCACTCAACTCAAGCATTGTGTTAGTATTGTCTTCACAAAGTGGGCTCAGTGTAATTTTTGCTCTCATTGGGTACATCTTAGATTTTGTACACCAATTACAGTAGTAAGAAGGGCTACTGTGTTCAGATGCCCACATTGTGTAACTGAAGAATAACTCTTGTGACAGGAAATATTACAAATCAACTTACCTTGTGCTCAGACAAATTTGATTATAGACATGTTTTTGCATTAATTATAAAGTCACACTTGTTGAAACTTTTAGTACAGTTATTGTTCAGTTAATTGCATTAGGTAGTTTACACATCTTTGACTTGCTGAAAGCCTACTGTATGGTATAGATTTTACCGCGAGAATATAAATAACTTCTATTCAAAGGTCAGGGTACCTGTTTATAAAATGGCGGAAAATAAAATTGAAATGTTTTATATCGATTTTTTTCATGTAAATAAATCAATTATTGGTTAACTTGGATGAAGAAAAGGAAAGAACAACAAGGTAAATATTTTGTTTGTCATTATATGACTTTATTTCCTTAGTACCGCGAGAATACCTGCAAACAGGGTACATGGTGCACATGTACTTACTAGCCACAACATACATGATGCACATGTACTTACTAGCCACAATATACATGGTGCGCATGTTCTTACTAGCCACAATATACATGGTGCGCATGTTCTTACTAGCCACAACATACATGATGCGCATGTTCTTACTAGCCACAACATACATGATGCGCATGTTCTTACTAGCCCACAACATACATGATGCACATGTTCTTACTAGCCACAACATACATGATGCACATGTACTTACTAGCCACAACATACATGGTGCGCATGTTCTTACTAGCCACAATATACATGGTGCGCATGTCTTACTAGCCACAATATACATGGTGCGCATGTTCTTACTAGCCACAATATACATGGTGCACATGTTCTTACTAGCCACAACATACATGATGCGCATGTTCTTACTAGCCACAACATACATGGTGCGCATGTTCTTACTAGCCACAAATTACATGATGCACATGTTCTTACTAGCCACAACATACATGGTGCGCATGTTCTTACTAGCCACAATATACATGATGCACATGTTCTTACTAGCCACAAACATACATGATGCACATGTTCTTACTAGCCACAATATACATGGTGCGCATGTTTCTTACTAGCCACAATATACATGATGCACATGTTCTTACTAGCCACAACATACATGGTGCGCATGTTCTTACTAGCCACAAAATACATGTGCGCATGTTCTTACTTACTAGCTTACTAGCCACAATATACATGCACATGTGCACATACATGGTGCACATGTACTTACTAGCCACAACATACATGATGTGCGCATGTTTTACTAGCCACAATATACATGTACTTACTAGCCACAACATAAACATGGTGCGCATGTTCTTACTAGCCACAAACATACATGGTGCACATGTTCTTACTAGCCACAATATACATGGTGCGCATGTTCTTACTAGCCACAATATACATGATGCGCATGTACTTACTAGCCACAACAATATACATGATGCGCATGTTCTTACTAGCCACCAACATACATGGTGCGCATGTACTTCTTACTAGTTCCACTAGCCACCAATATACATGGTGCGCATGTTACTTACTAGCCACAACATACATGATGCGCATGTTCTTACTAGCCACAACATACATGATGCACATGTTCTTACTAGCCACAATATACATGATGCACATGTTCTTACTAGCCACAACATACATGATGCGCATGTACTTACTAGCCACAACATACATGGTGCACATGTTCTTACTAGCCACAATATACATGATGCGCATGTTCTTACTAGCCACAACATACATGGTGCACATGTACTTACTAGCCACAACATACATGATGCGCATGTTCTTACTAGCCACAACATACATGATGCGCATGTTCTTACTAGCCACAACATACATGGTGCGCATGTTCACTAGCCACAATATACATGTGCACATGTTCTTACTAGCCACAACATACATGGTGCGCATGTACTTTAGCCACAATATACATATGCGCATGCTTACTAGCCACAACATATACATGATGCGCATGTTCACTTACTAGCCACAAATATACATGATGCGCATGTTACTTACTAGCCAAATTTTAACTTTGTAAATGCCCAAAAACTTTAACTAAATCATTCACAAAAAATATCTATTCTTTGGTAACTTTCCTCCATTTTAAGATTGACATCTTCCGTCTGCTGACAGGACTTCCATTTGTTGTTGTTTGTTGTTGCCTAAAAACTTCAAAACCTATACCATTACCATTGTTTTTGTTGTTGTTTTTTTTTTTTTTTCAGGGGTCCCAAAGCAGGCTTAAGCAGCCATATGACAAGGAAAGCCTTTAGAGAGCCTATGCAGGTTGTGTTTCAAATGTTCTCCATCTCTGTTTATCGGGCATCTTAGACGTTTTGGTTTGTGACCCAAGTCCTCGGAGTCTAACTTTTGAGAGACAGGGACTAACATAATGTCATCCCTTGAGGGCACGTCTGCCAGAGACTCTATTGTCTTCTCTTGAGTAGAGGACAAGTTAGCACAGCATATTAAAGTATATGGCCAGTATCGGATATGGCTTACACCATGACCAACCGTAAGATTTATTGCTGCTGACTATGCCAGGATCAATGGGGAAGAAAGTTGCTTGCAAAAGGATTGGTTTAAGTACTGTGTTAGTACTATGAGTTTCATGAAAAAAAACCAGACTTGAAAGCTGTCAAGCCTCAAAAAGCTTGATTTTTGGCCAGAGCTAAAGGTGGCCTCTGAAGAAAAAATTAAACAACTATTTTCAAAAAACTAGAAATATTCTAGATGACAATGACTTAATCAATTCACCTGAAAAGATCATATAATATAGATGAAACAGGCGAGTAAGCACCCAGCACTTCACCAAACCTAAAATAGTTTGTGGGAAAAAATGATATAAACCTCAGGCAATTACCTCACCAAGATCTTCCAACTGTAACAATAATAGGAGGAGCAAATGCCCTTGGAAAATCATGTGCCTCCTTTTTTATATATTCCCTGGGAAAAGGTTTAATTCTCAGTTCATGAGAAGGTGCTCAACCTGGTGCAGATGGTACAATTGTCGGATAGTGGTTTGGGTGAATGATGCGTGGAAAAATTTTTGTAAGATTTATGTCACGAGACCATCTGCGAAGCACTGCAACCTTGATTCTGTCTCTTCAGATAGACCAGCCACATTGATCCTGTATGATGGGCACAAAAGTCATTTATCGTTGACTTTGAATAGAGTGGGGGGGGCATAGACAGAGGAATGTGGTCCTCTTGTACTTCCCCCACATACCAGTCATCTCACGCAACCACTGGATAGTTGGTGTGTTTATGGCCCATTCAAAGCCTTCTACTATACTGAGTGTCAACCATATTTGCAGCATAACCCGGGTGTATACATCACCAAATATGAAATTGCTTCACTAACTTCTAAGCCGTACTTGAAAGCTTTCTCTCCATCAAAACATCACATCAGCTTTCAAAAAAATCAGGAATATTATCCATTTGATGAGTCTCAAATTTCCAAGAGTGACACTGCACCTTCATCAATTTATTCCAGTGAAAATCATGATCAGTGCCAGGGACTGGATACACAAGTTGAATCAACCGAAAAGGCACCACAGCAACCAGAAGAGCCCTCTGACTCGCAAGAAACCATTTTGTATGATGAATCTGTCACTTTCTTTGCAAAGGAGACAAATTAACACTGTCAAACAAAGACCTAAGAAAAAATTCATTCCACCATACATAATGGGAAATCTGTTAAATGAAAGAAATACACATGTTCTGCAAAAATCAAAGGAAGTCTAAGGGTGCCAAATCTGAGAAACTGTTCAAAATAGACAAAAAAAAAATCCCATACCAAAAACACCGTCTAAGAAGGCAGAGGAAGAGTAAGGAGCATGAAGAACCAGTTCCTAGCACATCTGGAACATCTAAGACAGGGGTACCTATATCTTTTGGACTCTCCATCACATATGTCAGACAGTGATACTGATATGAGATAGAGGAGAGAGACAAATGTTGTGTCTGCAAGCTCTACACACCCACTCAACTCAAGCATTGTGTTAGTATTGTCTTCACAAAGTGGGCTCAGTGTAAATTTTGCTCTCATTGGGTAACATCTTAGATTTTGTACACCAATTACAGTAGTAAGAAGGGCTACTGTGTTCAGATGCCCACATTGTGTAACTGAAGAATAACTCTTGTGACAGGAAATATTACAAAATCAACTTACCTTGTGCTCAGACAAATTTGATTATAGACATGTTTTTGCATTAATTATAAAGTCACACTTGTTGAAACTTTTAGTACAGTTATTGTTCAGTTAATTGCATTAGGTAGTTTACACATCTTTGACTTGCTGAAAGCCTACTGTATGGTATAGATTTTACCGCGAGAATATAAATAACTTCTATTCAAAGGTCAAGGTCAGGGTACCTGTTTATAAAATGGCGGAAAATAAAATTGAAATGTTTTATATCGATTTTTTTCATGTAAATAAATCAATTATTGGTTAACTTGGATGAAGAAAAGGAAAGAACAACAAGGTAAATATTTTGTTTGTCATTATATGACTTTATTTCCTTAGTACCGCGAGAATACCTGCAAACAGGGTACATGGTGCACATGTACTTACTAGCCACAACATACATGATGCAC